CAACAAAGAGGGGGGAATGGTGTGCGCTGGTGCTCTGTGCCGGAGGGAAAGTCACCCTCCAGGTTCCTGCGGCTGCTCTCCCCCCTCATCCTGGCTTTTCTGTAAACGAGGGTGAGGTAGGGGCCCTGTCCGAGGAGAGCGGAAGGATGGGAGGTCGGAGAGGCCGGGAGGGCAGATGGACAGCGCGGACGGCGGTGGGTGTGTGTTGTGAGCTGGTTTACTGCGCGCGGGGCCGGGCCGGCGGGGCTGCGGCCGCCTCCCCAGGAAGGACAAAGCCGAGGTGGGAAGGGATGGCGTCTCGCCCCCTCTCCTCTCTCTCGGCCCACCGCCACTTTCTCTTTTTTTGGTTTGGGATGGAGGCGTCTTGAATATTTTATGCAAAAAGCAATGGCTAATGAGGTGTCCACAGCCAGGCCAGGAAAGAAAAGGGGTATGAAGGGGAGGGCGAGATGGACAGATCTCTGGAGTATTGGAAGGAGCGTTTTCAGCTCAGTGTTTTCAGCTTCCGGGTTCCACTTCATCTGGGAAATACTTGAATCTCTCTGTGTATGCTGTTCTCCGGCAGCATTTCCGTAGACACTTTTCTGAGTTCGAACTCTCTCTCCCTCGTTCCTTTCGTCCTTCGCTTTCTCATTCCTCGGGTAAAATGGTTCTTGGCATATTTCTCACGCATGCCTATTGCGCCTTCGCCGCTGCCAAGCCGCCGCCGGGCTGTGGAGCCCCCGCTCTGCCAACTCCGGCTTCTGGAGGGGGTTTCCTTGAACTTGAAGAAAGGCACATCAAAACCCACCAGTGTTAACTGCCACGTCAATTTTGATGCTAATAATGTGCAGATTATGACGAAAATTGCCAATCATGCTCTCTGATGGACCTCCTTTGAATGTGGAATTGGAGAAAAGTTCCCCGCACGGAGACCTGCTGTCAAATACTAACAACCCGCTAAGGGAAGTCATTAGGAGAGACGGATAAGAGACTCGGTACATAAAACATTGTTCTTGGTGCATAGAATGTATGTTATTTAATGTTATCTCTGTTACCTGAAGTGATTTCGCAGAAGAAAGACACGTTCTTATCATCTCAATGGCCAATTTTCATTTTGGTAACTTGGACGTCCTGGGTAGACTTTTCTCTGTTAAGTTGATATTCCACCAATGTGAACAGCCTCGTTAAATCAAGCCCAGATATTTCCATAATGCTCCCCGCAGAGCCACTTCGCCCCTCACATAATGAGATTTTTCTGAAGAGTTAAAGCCTAAAATAACTTGCTAGTGCATGTTTAGACCCAGTGAAGTGGGTATGTGTATTAAAATGTAGGTATGCTACCTACATATTTGTGTGTGTGTATATGTATGTATGTATGTATGTATACATATATATCTGCTCTCTTAAACATATACATATGTAAGAGCTATACACACACATTCATATATACCCATTGGCACTATTTTCTGTGATTTATTTCAAATTTGTGTTCCGACATATTTTTGTTATTTTAAAGACACTGGATTTTAAAAATTCATTTTCTAAAAATAGGCTTTCAGGAGGTTTTTGAAAGAATTCACTTTCCAGGATAAATTATTATTTTCATCAAATGGAAACTATTTCAAGGGGAAACAACATTTCCTCCTGAGGTCTATTAAAATATTCCCATAAAATATTAGAGAATTTCCCAATGAAATAGCAGTGATCTAAAGCTCAACCTTTTTCTTTTTTCTTTAAAGAGATGAGACTACTTATGTTAAATATTTGATTATACCAGCTCTTACTGAGTTTACATTAAAAATATTAATATATAATTTAAGGCTAAATAAAATAAACCAAAATATGGTACCCTTTATCAGCTTTAACTTTGTAGATTGTTAAAGTCCTTTCTTATGATCTGCTATTAGATGTATATAAGGTACTTTAGGCGATAATGTTTACATTTCCCCTCCAAATATATATGACCGGTGAGAAGGATGGTTGAAAAAATGAACATAAATTCATGTTATGTTAGGTCCATTGGATCTGGTTATTATATTAAAATAAAAACTGTAAATAAAGTCTTCGTGCTTTAAATATTGCTGGCTGTATGAACTCACTGTAAGATATTTTACAAATGTGCAATAATTATAAAGCTTTGTATATTACGTTATTTATTGTGTTTGGTCATGTAAAATAAATGTTATTTAAATCAAAGCGATTTTATTTGTTTATGAGATTGCAAAACGGTGCGTACTGGTGTTTGTTTTTAACTGTGGCACCCAGGGTTATGAAAATCTCTTAAAACAACATATTTAAATCCATATAATACACATAGATGGATTAATTCATTCTAATCATTATTTTTACGGCAAATACATTACTCATGTTTATAGGAGATGCGCACTACATCCAAACATTGGTTTAACGTTAATTGGCTGGCTAAACAGATAAGTGCTTAGGAGTAGTGTGTGTGTGGATACAAAATATAGACGGCATGCCGGCATAAATACAAGGAGTGTGTACACACAACGCAGGG